CACCACCACCACCACCACCACCACCACCATCACCACTACCATCACCATCACCACTACCAACACTACCACCTTCGCCATCACCACCACCACCATCACCACCACCACCACCACCACCTTCGCCGTCGCTACCACCATCACCACAACCATCACCACCTTCACCATCACCATCACCATGGTGGTAGGGCACCATTGCCATCACCGCCACTGGCTCTCCAGGGGAATATAGGTCAAACTGGAGTGTGGGGTGTCTGAGTCGGGCTCACCTCTGTGTGGGTCCCCCTGTGCCCATGTCCAGGGCATCCACAAAGTGGTACTGAATCGGTTTGAATGAAAGAACAGTTGTGAACGCTGCAGGTATTAAGAACCAAGTATCCCCAGGAAGCGAGGGGTCCTGGGTTCTCATCCTGCCTCCTGGACCGTAAGGCAGAGCCCAAACCGGCTCCACGGGGCTAAGGTGAGGGTCAGGTGAGACCAGATGTCAATTCTGAGCTTCCACGGATGCTTCCTGTGGCACTGGCCCTGCCTGAGATCGATGGAAGCATTCGAAAGCTGGAATCCTTCCATTTGTCGTTGTCCCAACATGCCGTCCAAGCCCTCACCACTTGGCTCCTACTCTAGTCCTATCTCGGAACACGCTACAAGATGTCTGTTCCGTTTCCACCGAGAAAGTAAACTCGGATTAGTTTTGTCTGCAAAGAATCTAGTTGCGCATCTGGCCCTTGCGGATGTGAGTCTATGTTTGTGGTGGGTGTTTCGGAGTTTCACTGCCTGGCAGTGACCTGGTGGCCTGGCCCCGGAGTAAGTAAGTAAGCCCCTCCGAGCACGTACACCGCCCCCCACCTCTCCCCACACGTGTGTGTTTGCGCACATACACAGCTACAGATGTAATCCGTTCCAGGGAAACCATTTCTCTCTGCTGTTTATTTCCCATTTCCCTTCCTAGTTGTTATTGTTCTAACGGGAGAGCTGGGTAGGGAGCCAGGGAGAGACCATTTCTGGATAGAGATTCCTGCAAGGGGGAAGGTTCACATCTCCAGCTCCCCAGCCAGGAGGGAGTAGGGGACTGTTTCTGTGTGCAAGGGCTTGGCTGAGGAGGCTGGCTTTTTCCAAGGGGAGCAAGAAGGGGCTACCCCGATCCAGTGCCTGGAGGCTAGCAGGAAGGGGTGGGGAGGGAGTGGAGTGGGAAAGGTGTAGGCTGAGGAGTCCGGAGTCAAATTCTTATCTGAGGTCCTCTCAATGATGTGGCCCATCCTCTGTGCCTGAGTGTTTGTCTGTCTCGGGGGTAGAGCTGAGGGGGTGGGGGTTGTGTCTGAGAGAGTCAGAATAGGCGGTGGGTGTCCGCTGGCCTTCTCTCCTTAGGAGTTTAGTCTCTCAGAAGTCCTGGGCCCCAGGGGTGGATTGTGAGGAAACCTGTCCTGGAAGTGGGACAGGGCCCCAAAGGGAACAGGCCCCCAGGGAGGGCCATGCTGGAACAAAGTGGAGCAGGGAAGCCGATGGCAGTGTGGAGCACTTAGAGACCAGCACCCCCAACGCCCCAGCCCTCAGCCTCTGTGCCCCAGTGGCCACCCCCACCACCACCCCAGGGGTGTGCTCACCAGGCTCTAGCTGCAGACAAGTGCCATTTGTATGACACACGGAGGCCACACTGTAAGTGGTCTCCATGTCCAGCAGGATCTGGTTGTACTGCAGAGAGAGGAAGAGGGGCAGTGAGCCGCAGGCCTTAGCTGGGGGGGGGGGGGCCCTCTGCCCCACGCCTCCTCCCAGAAGGGCTGCCTGTGTTGTCATCCTGTAGGTGCACGACAGGCTCCCTCCCTGCACCCTCCCCACTCTGCCTGCCAAGCCCCCAGACCACACACCTGCTCCAGCTCCTCGGTGGGCAGCGCCGCCCGCTCCAGGTCCTGAACCTTCTTGATGATCCGCTGGATGGTGGCGTTCTGGAAGTTGGTCACATCGAACTGTCTGGCCCGGGTGCCGTACTGCAGGGTGTGGTTCGCCAGCTGCATGTTCTTCTGGAGCTGCGGGCACAGCGGGGCACAGTGGGGACGGGCGTTAAGGAGAGGTCTTTGAGCAGGGGCTGTCATGGGTGGGGTAGGGTGGGGCAGGAGAGGATAGGGGTGGGATAAGGGGGATAATTTGCAAATCACTGCCTTTCTCTTCCACCTGGACTGTGTGACAGTGTCCCAGGGCTGTAAGGACCCTTGGCAAAAGCCACACCCTGGCAGGCTAGAGAAAGGGCAGCACCCCCCTCCCAGCACCCACGGTTGGGTTAGCTCTGGGCTTGTGTCCTGCCTGCAAAATGGGAATCGGCATTGGCACTGTGCAAGGCTGCTGAGGCAGACAAGAAGAGCCGGGGCCACACAGCTTCACAAAGTCTGTCCCCAGGGACCTTGCCTTGGCTTCACCTGTGTTTAACTAAGCTGGCAGGGGCTCTCCTAGGGAGGCAAACAGCCCTTCAATTTTTTAAAAGCCAGTGTCAGCACCGCTCATTTGCATACCAATGACATCCTCCGCAGCTAACAGGGGGTTCTCAGGAGAGGAACCACCATGTGGTTGCTGCCCAGCCAGATATGGACTTGAAGATGGTTTGGACGATCCCGTTTGGATTTGTCACCAATGCTGGCAGTCCCTCTAGGAGGTGGTATGAGGGAGGGGGGGGCCGGTACCCTCAGCCCCCGGGGGATGTTCGCTGGAGGGGTGGGGGGGAAGTGTTGGCTCTGGGTGGGTGTGGAGATGGCTTACCAGAACTCTGCTGGTCTCTTTGGTGATGTTGGTATTATAGTCCCAGTTGGCCTCAGCGAATTCGTTCCACATGACCTGGGCTGACTTGTCATATTCCTCCACAAACTTCTGGGCCACAGTCTCATCTGTCACGAGGTCTGTGGGACAGAGTGGAGGGAAATCGACAAACCTCTCCTTCCCCTCTCTGCCCAACACCTCCTCCTGGGAGCCCTCCTGCCAAGCCTCCTCTCCCGTTGGCCCCTCTCTGCCCCTGCCCCGGTCCCTGCCCCATCCCACTTGGTCTCTGTGCTGTCAGGTTGGTCGTGGCCTGGCTGGCTGTGGTCTGGCTGACTGTCGCCTGGCCTAGGGCTGGCAGAAGGTGCCCGCAGCAGAGCAGCAGGAGGAGGAGGCTGGGTAGTCGCAGGGCAGCCCAACCTTGGCCCATGGCCGCAGGAGAGCAGAGGCCTGCAGCCATGGCCCCTGGCCAATAAGGGCGGAGGCTGTAGTGTGACCTCATAGAGCCGTAGGTCTAGCCTGCCCCCCAGGGGCCTCCGATCCAGGCACACCCCCTAGAGCACAGGTTCCCAAACATGTTTGCCTGGTCACTCCCTTTTCAGGAAAAAAAATTTACTCATCGTCCCCTGACAATTTAAAACGTCTGAACTCTAACCCAGCTTAACCTGTAGAAATCTGCTTCTTCAGTCCCCCTGGGGGGCGGAATCGCCCAGTTTGGGAAACGCTACAGTAGAAGATGTTAGGAAGAGACAAGGTCAAGTGGATCCCAGGGACCCCACTGATGGGCCCTGGGAGCTGGGAGAGGGGGTTGCCAGACCCCAGGGCAGGGCACAGGGCTCACCTGGGAGGAATTGACTGGGACCCGCTAAAGACCACCCACCCCACCTCACTCCGGGCTTTACCAATGCCCTCTGGGTAATTGCTGGGCACCGCCGGGCGCCACTGGTACTCTGGCCAGCCCAGAATGTCGCCGTTGTGCGAGTTCTGCTCCTGCAGCCACACCCTGATGGGCCGGAAGTAGTCCAGCAGTGGCCCGGCGTCCAGAGCGTCCGTCCCAATCATGTCCTTCAGCAGCTCCTTCCAGGGCCTTGACGAGCCTGCTCGAAGCAGCTCTCTAGGGCAGAATGGACAGAGGGGGCTCAGGCAGCAGCTCCTTTGGGCCCCAGGACACCTTTCCCACCCTCGGCCACTGCACCCCCCCTTCCACCCTCACAAGGCTGCAAACACCCTGACAATAACACCAGGCGTCTGGGGATTCTGAGAGGTGGCAGGCGCTGCTTGTCTTTCCCCAAGCCAGCCAGGGGGCTCACTTGAGAATCACTCGATGAGGGACAGAAAGAGAGAAGGAAGAAAGTGGGGAGGGAGGGAGCCCCATGACACCTCAGCCTAGGATGGCCAGATCCTCTCCAGATGCACCCTCTGCCCACCCGCTCTGCTCCTACCATGCACCTGAGCTTGGCCCCGGCCTGGGCCGACTGGTAGATGTCACAGCGGTGCAGGGGGCCCTGATGGGCCGCCTCCAGGCACAGGGCTTGATGGAACTGGAACTGCAGGACAAAACTGACAAAGTACCTGCAGACACGGAGTGGAGAGTGGGACGGGGAGCACAGGCCCAGAAACCAGGGTCCCTACCCAGCCAGTCCAGCCTCCCACGAGTCAAAAGTGGCCCGAGGGCTGTCTTGGGGAAGAAGGAAGAGCCAAGACAGGTTGTGGAGGCCCTGCGGGGTGGGGGTCTGGTAGAACCTGAGGACAAATGGGGGAGGGGGTGTGTGGAGTTGAGAAGGAGGGGACTGGAGGTGGGGCGGAGTGGAGGGGCGGTACCTGATGTAGGGTGTCATGTTTGGCACGTGAAACTTAGCTCCGGCATCAAAGTGGGTTTCGTTTCGGAGCACCGGTGAACAGAGCCCCTGATACTTGGTTCTAGGAGCAAAGGGTTACACAGTCTTAAGAGGGAAGGGTGGCAAACTGACTGGGAGATTTCCCTCCCTCATCTGATGAATTGGGGCCCACTTCCTGGAGGAGAGGGTTGAAGGCAGGAAAGAAGATCCCGGTGGGGGGAAGGAATACCACTGTCCGTAGTGGACCAAGGCTGGCCGGCTAGAGTGCTGGGCTGCCCAGGGCAATGGGGGGAGGCCTGGAGGACCGTCACTCACCGGAGATACCACCAGTCAAAATTGTAGCGGGACGGGGGCGTACGACCGCTAAATACCCCCCAGCGCCACTGGTCCACCAGGTAGCCAAAGGGCAGAAAGGCGATTTTCTCCAGGGCCATCTTGAGCAGGTAATTGATTTCGCTTTCTGCAGGGAGACGAGAAGAAAGGAGTCCAGCAAGGAGGACTCTAGCCAGCTCAGGGTGGGCCGGGCAGGAACCCTGGGGAGGTGAGCGGGGCTGGTTAGCTGCTCTGGTGAGGACCATGGAAAGCGCTGCAGGACGGCCTGGTTGGGGGGCGGGGCTTGGCTGGGAGGCTCCGCGCAGGCCCCGGCCCTGCCTGAGCTGGGGCAGATATGGGCTGGACTGTCCCCCGTACCTGAATCATTAGGGACTTGGTCCAGCAGGCCGATTTTGTGCAGATGTGCAGGCGTGGAGACAGAGAGTGCCAGCACATCCCCGATGGCCTCGTGGAAGCCCGGGTTGGCGCCCTGGCGCAGGGACACGGGCTGGTCCTTGTACTGCAGGTAGTACTGAATGTGGCCCATCTCGTGGTGCACAGTAGACAGCTGCTCCATCGTGACCCGTGTACACTGCTTGATCCTGGGCGGGGAGGGGCGAGGGTGAGGGGGAAGGGCAGCGAAGGGGAGCCTGGCCCTGGAGGGGTGGGACCCAAGGATCGGAGCAGCATAAAGGCCCTCTACCCTGCCCGTTCCTGCACCAGCCGTCTCCGTGGCCAGGCCACCCGTCCTTCCCCATCTCCCCGGGGACCAGACCTGAAGTCCTTCCTATTGTAGAAGTCCCAGGCCGAGGCGTGGCACACCACCTCTCTCCCGTCACTTGGCTTCTCCAGCATGGACTCTGCCCAGAACTCGGGGGGCATGGGCTCGAGTCCCAGAGAGGTGAAGAACTCCTCTGCCACCTGGAACATTGTCGTAGCATTCCAGCCCTGGAGGGGGGCGCGGTGGATAATGCCACAAGTCAGGCCCCAGCTGCCAGGAGCCTGCTCTGGCTGCCCGGGGCGGGCAGAGGGTGGAAGGGGGTGGGGATGGGCAGGCAGGAGACTTCCCAGATAGGACAGGCATCTCTATTCTCTGTGGCCTCCTTTACCCCGAGGCAGGGCCTCAAACTGACCACAGCTTTTGGATGGAGGTGGAAGCTGTTCACATCCCCTCACCCCCCAGTGACACCCCCCAGGGGCCTGGAGAGGAGCTGGTGCCCCTCCGGACAAATCCCAGCTCTCCTTACTCAGGCCATTTCTCTGTAGAAAGGGGAGGTGGGACCCCTATTCTGAGACCCCCTACTCATAAGAGCCCGTCCTGCCCACCTTCTGCTCCTGACTGCCCCCTGCGCCTGCCCGGGGCCCCCACTCTTCTGCCCTGTCCAGGCCCTGGTGTACCTTCTGCTCCATGGTGCTGGTGACGTCCAGGTTAGGCTTGTCTGGGAAAGGCACCACCATGTCGTAGATATTTTCCCAGCTCTGGGCCCACATATCTCCTACATGGACAAGGAGTGCAGTCAGCCCACCCCCACCCCATCTGCTGCCCCTCTCACTGTCTCCAAGCAGCACCTGGGAGCCCCATCACCTGGACTCTGGAGCACCCTAGGGCAGCTGATTCCCAAGACTGGTTGATGGGCAGGAGCCTCACACATGAGTCAGACCCCATCCCTTTGGGTGCTCTGAGCCCCTTGGGACTGTGGATCCCCCAAAGAGCAGGGGTGCTCCCGCTCAGGGCCTTTCAGACTGCGCTGCCCCTGTCTCCGAGACTCTTGAGCCCCACCAGCTAGGACCACGGGAACTCCTCCACTGGACCTGGAAGTCGACGGCATCATTGAAACTTGGCTCTGCCTTTCACTAGCTCACGAACCATTATCTTACCCTAAACCTGAGGGTCCCATCTGTAAAGATGAAATAATGATATTGATGAAAGGCATCCTCTGCTTCATGGAGGCCTTAGTATATAACCAGCACAGTGCGGGAGGCAGTGATGGTGACCCACCATCCCTAGCCTGGGCACTCCCCACCCCCTCACCAGCCCAGGCTTCCCTTACCCAGCAGGTGAGCGGGGATGGGCCCTCTGAGGTTGATGAATTTGGCCCCATATCGGCGGTAGAGCACACGGCGGACGTAGGCATGAAGTTCCAGGTAGAGGGGCTCTAGCTGCTGGTACAAGCGCTCCAGATCCTCCACAAAGGTGGGGGACTCGTACCAGGAGCGCCAGTAGGCCCCAGCATCCGAGAAGCCTAGCCAGGGAGAGTGGGGAAGGGCAGCTCAGGCTGTCATCTGCATCTCCCCGTCCCTCACTCCTCTGTCTTTCCTGGCTCCAGGCCTGAGTGTCTGCCAGCCAGCAGGGGAGTTTCCTAGGCTACCACATCCTCTAACTCTGGGCTGCTTCAGGCCAGATAGCAGAGGTCAAGATGGGTCCCAGCCTGCGGAACAGGGCCAGCAAAGTTAGCTGGAGGGCAGCAGATGGCTAGCTGACTGGGTTCAAGTCCAGTCCTACCAGCCCTCTGTGGCGCCTTGGACAGCTCTGTGATCACTGTGGCCAGGATGTGGGTCTCAGCCTAACCTTTGTTCTGAGCATTGTGGCTCAGCTGAGAGAGTGGGTGGGAGGGCACCTGGCCAGCTGGGGCCAGGAGAGCATGCTCACCATCTTGCCTGTAGGCCTCGTTGCTGAGGGTGGTGACCTCCTGGTACAGGGGCTTCAGTGGGATGCCCGCGGCGTCATGCCAGCCCTCCCAGGCAAACAGGAGCATGCTGTAACTCCTTGAGGAGGCCAGGATGTTGGTAAGATCTGAGGCCAAGGCAGATAGGGCCAGTTAGGAGGTTTCCAGGTGGAAGTTGGCAGCAACAGGACCCCACATGGGTCCCTGCCATTTCCACCAGCATCCTCAACACCATGAGACCCAGGATGCCCAGGGCAACCAATTAGGTAGGCGGGCCAGGCTGGGGAGCTATACAATGCATGCCCCAGGTAGGGACCCTGTCCCCGGAAGATGAGGGTCTACAAGGCCAGGGAAGAGGACCTCCTTTGGTGCCTCATCAGATAGAGTGTCTGACCTCAAGGCTCCCTAATAAATGGGGTTGAGAGGGAGCAGGAGGAGTTGGGGAAGTCCTGGAGAGTCCAAGGTCTATGGGGAGCTTCTGGGAGAAAGGGAAAACCAGGAGGAAGGATTTGTGATGGGAGAGGCACACAGGGGCCGGAGGTGGAGGTGGGGTCTCTGGGGTTCCTAAAGTCAATTTGCCAGGGGAAGCAGGGTGGGGTCAGTGGAGGCCAATGTCACTGTCTCCCAAGGAACATGCTGGCCTCCAGGGCGCAGCAGGGTGAAGATAAGAGTTGGGAGACCCCAGAGAGAGAGAGAGAGAGACAGATTCAGAGACAGAGAGACCCGTACCTGGGTCAAGGGACCAGCAGGTGGCAGTCTTGTTGGGGAAGCAGACCTTGGCCGTGGAATAAATCCTGCTCATGTTGCTTATCAGAGAGTTGTACTGGTGAGTCAGGGTTGAAAAATGGTTAGCGAGGAGCAGTCCCCCGGAGAGCTCTGGCCACCCCCTCCTTTTTTGGCTAGAAGGCAGAGGAGATCTGGGGAAGGGAATGTGGTGTAGATACCACCTTGGTCGCCATCTTGCAGTGAGGGTAAAACACAAGCTCAAACTATCATTGAGTGGATTCTAACTCATAGTAACCCTCTAGCCACTGGGTTTCGGAGATTATCGGTCCTTACAGGAGAAGAAAGCCTCACCTTTCCCCTGCGGAGTGGCTGGTGGTTTCAAACTGCTGACCTTGTGATTAGCAGCCTAATATCTCACCCACGACACCACCTGGCTGTGGTGCCTTCCTCAATGCTTCTTGACCTGACCAAGGAAGTTCAGACCCCAAACTGGCCTCTGGACAATGCTGACGCGGAAGCCTGCCGTTCCACCTTTGACTTGGGCTCTGCTCTCTACTCCACGATAGGAGGGTTTGTCCCTATCTCTAAGGAAAAGCATGCCCAGGAAGTGGTTTTACAGGTAGAGGAGTCTAGTCCCCTGGGGGAACAGGTGAGGCCCTCTCCCCACCAGCAGGCCCACCTGCTGTCGCTTGGCCAGAGGCAGGTTGGCAGGACCCAGGATGCGGATGGAGCTGAGGACCCGGCGAAGCACTGGGTCGGTGAAGTTCTGCCAGATGTCATCGTACAGCTCCTTGGCCTTGTGGCCCCAGGCTTCGTCAAAGTCCTGGCTGATCAGGGCTGTCTCCTCCTGTGGGCATCAGGAGGTGGGGGGATGGGAGGGTGGGGTGGGGCCAGGCACACAAGGAACTCATTGGAAGCTGTGCAGGGAAGGTCACCCAGCAGAGGGGGGAGGAAGGTCAAGGGTGTCCAGGTCTGGCCCTGTGGAGGCTACTTTTCTGGAGATGGGAGCTTCTGGAGTTGGGCTTCTCCTCCTGGACCTTGGATGGGACCTGGGTGGGGGGGTCTACCTCGAGGGGGGCGGGGTGAATCA